GAAGTGTGAGGATCACAAATACTCAATCAACTGTACGCAGTGTTGGAAGCTAATCCCATCAACCGACAACACAACGAACTGGACGCTCGATTGGCAAGAGCCATATTCGTCCTGTGCAACTGAACTGAATTTGTTTGACTGTATCACTTTTACATTCTTCTCAATATCGTTGACTAGAGCGGCTGGGGTGGAACTCCGCTATTTTTGAGACGCTGCTTGATTTGTATTTATCGTGATTATCGGACATTGTGACCCTAGAGGTTTCATTATCGAGGTTCGTTGTGAATATGCAACTTTAATCTTATTGTTAATTAACAGTACCGTGTCAATAATCAATCAAAACCCTTTTTGACGATCGTCTTCTCTCACTGGGATCAGTTTGGGCAATATTTGACTAAGTGAAACGTATTGTTATCCGGATTGATCGTTTGGTAGAATTCGACAGACGTATCAATACTGACGCACGCGTAACTCGTTCGAGACGGGTCCTTCAGAATCAACAACACCTTCAACGCGGTCAAATGAGCAATCAGGAAAGATATAGCAATATCGCGCCTTGACCCCTCCGCTAAACTAACACTTGTCACCGATGCGTCCGACCACGTTGTTGGCACCTTCCTCCAGCAATAGAGATACAGGAATGACAACCAATAGCTTTTTTCTCCGAGAAGCTACAAACGGCCGAGTCAAGGTACAGCGCCTTCGGCCGGAAAATCCACCACTTCCTTCATCTCCCTAAAGGACGAGACTTCACGGTTTTCACTGAGCACTGTCCTATCACTCCCGTCATCAAGTCTACCACCGACAGACACTCTCCACAGGAGTCACGACATCTTGATTACATCCCACAATACATGTGCGTTATGCGACATGTGGTCGCCTGATGCACTTGTAGCCAGGATGTGTGAATTACCCTGTCGGCTTCCTCAATACAGACACAAGAGTGCACATAAATAAATAAATAGCGTAGAGGCATTTCGGAGTCGTACACGACGCAATCTGAAAGCTATCACAAGTTCTGTCGGGGAAATGTGTTGAACCATCTGATTGACGTCCAATACATCGTGATCTGAATTTTCAATTCAAACAAGTGTACCCGACAAATCAGGCAGTTCTATTCACGTTGAAAATCTGTAGAATCCTTTTTATACGATACGCATATTTTTATCACATGAGATATAACTTTTTGGTTTATACTCAGAGGCGCATTTCATGCTACCTAAGAGTAGTAGGCATGAATTGCGATCAGTTTGATAAGGTGGTTCCGCAGGGGTTACCTGCGCCTATTTCCTTTTTATTACACGTAAGTAAATACAGTAAAAAGGGGTCGCGTCAGACAGAAGCTTCCATCACCACCCACAAACTGATTAAGAAAAACACTCCGATAACTTCGAAGAGGCAAAAGCCTTGTCTAACTATCTGTTAGAACACAAACATATTGTCATCGGATGCCACCATTCCTTTAAATCGGCATTTCAAAAGGGAAACGCAAAATCCATTGTTTGCATATTATAACAACCCTACAAGATACCCGTTGCTTGGCATAATCTACGAATCAACAGTTCAATGTCGGGCCAGTTTGAGAATACCTGTGGAAGAATCACCAGTTGTGAACTAAGTCACTTAAATTTTTCTATATCTAATGAGTCTAGGAATATTGCTATCTCCTTGGCGATTTCCTCATTTAAACTGCGTTGTTCGCCCTTGGTTTTGACCCGTGTTTTCTGTTCAACAAGTCCATGCCTGTGTTTGTTGTCACAATCAATTTGATTAAACTCAGAATATACCCAGCGGTCGATGTAAGTACCGATCTCGGAAATGTAGGCACAAGGGTTACAAAAATCACAACACCGACTCTGACCGCACAGTCGGTCTTTTGTACCATTGCCGGAAAGATATTGGAGATCAGATTCCGAATATGATCGAAGGCTGAGGCGATTACCATTCACTTCGACGGGTTCTCCCTATCCGTGTGCACAAAAGCAGTGTAACGGCAAGGAGCTGTCCGTGACCTTTTATTCACCGTAGGATGATTAACTGTCTCCCTGGCAATCCAGGTCACAGTGACACATCCAATCAAAATCCACATCATACTAATTGATTCCGATTAGTTTTTGTTGCTGACTTATTCACTCCCATCCCACATGTGGTTGGCAGGCAATAAAACGAACTGTTGAGAAAAATAGTGAAAACAAGTTAGTTACTCTGTAGTTGTTGTTGTAGTAGGCA